TAATTTAAAATTAAAATTTCAATTTATTTTAAAAATCGATAGCAATTTATATTTTTTTTATAAATTAATAAGCAACGCGCCCCAAATATCGCATCTCTAATTTTGATACGGAAAAGATGAATGGCCCCGAAAGGGGTCAGTTTTTTACCACAAGTCATTTTAGACTTGTGGGCTAATTTTCTTATCAATTTATTGATTAAAATTTTAAAATTTAAATTTTTATAAAACTTTATAATAAAATAAATTTTTTTTATTGATTCTCTAATTTTTATGGCCATTACGCAAAAAAAAAGACTTAGGTTTGTTTTTTTTTTTTTCCTTTTTTTGTTGGCCATCTCTTATTTAAGTTTATTTATTTACTACATTATTTCTTAAACAAAAGTTAAATGTACCGGTCTATATATTTTTTTGGTACAACCAGTACATATACTAGTGATGAGTAATATTCATGTACAATAATTTACACAGCTCAGATGATGAGCAAAGAGACCAGTAAGGTGTGCAGGCACTGATCCTTAAAGACACCTTTAGTTACAAAATTAGCCACCGGATAATTTGGAAATTAAAAAAAAAAAAAGATTCAAATACATTGGTATATAGTCAAAAAAAAAAAGAAAAAAGAACTGAATCAAAAGTTTAATCCAAATGACAATATAAGTTATATAACAAAAGATTATCCATCATTTTTTTTTTTTTGTCAAAATCGTTCCTAGTGAACTTGAGAATCTCCAGGATCATGATATCTCCATGGTCTGAAAGTTTTTATTGGTATTTTTCTCTTAAAAAAAACAGAGTTACATTGTGGAAATGGGAAAATGGAAAAAACTCGAATTCAATTTTGGTGAGAAGCATTAGGTGGAGAGCACTTAAGTTGCTCTATCCAGAACTTCTCATTATTATTATTTTTCAAATAAGCAATGGAGGAAAGTATTTATTTATTTATTTTATTTAATATAAATCATTTGATATAAGCATTAGGTGGAGAGCACTTAAGTTGCTCTATCCAGAACTTCTCATTATTATTATTTTTTAAATAAGCAATGGAGGAAAGTATTTATTTATTTATTTTATTTAATATAAATCATTTGATATTTGAAAGTTTATTGGGTTATCAACTAATTCATATTTGATTCATAAAACCTAATAAACAATAAAATTTTTCTTTATGAGTTTTAATGAAATTGTACTTTTAAAGCTTAAAATCAAAATCTCTTATTAAATTAAAAAAATCTCCAACTAATTTATTCACAAATATTTTATTATATAAGACAAGACAATAGAGCTTAATAGGAGTTGATGTCGACAGAAGAAAAGTCAAACAGGGATGGTGAAATAAGGATAAGAGCTAGTTGTGGATATCGATCGCTTGCTGTAGGGATGAAAATCCAGGGGCGGTGGCGGAGTACATTGTACCATGTGGGGGCAACTGCACTCCACTTTAATTTGGGGAAAGCGGGAAACGTGTACGGCTGGTATATATTTGATCATTTGGGTATTTTATTTTCAAAGTAATTAAGCATGTTTTTAGTTTTTACCATAAAAAAAATTAATCATGTTATAAATTTAACATTTGACCACAAAAATAAATAAATAATTTATATAATTGAACTTAGCTCTGTTATTTAAAAAGTTACAAATGCATATGTATATATATGCACGAATGAATTTCTTAATTTCAAATATCTAAAAAAATTCTCAATTTCACTTTTTTAAATTCACGATAAAGTTATAACAATCACTAGTTTTATTACGATTACTAATTTTACTTATAATTTTATTAGTTTATATTTCATTGATTTCATAAAACAATAATTTTGTTATTTTGAATTTGTTATAAATTAATT